AAAGGGGATGCCATTATGAAATTATAATTAAAAATGTTGATATATATAAAATTTGAAATTAACGGTCACGTATTCCAGAACATATATATGATAAAAAAAATCGAACGGTGGTTGGTCGGTTGGTCGGTCGGTCGGACGGTCATTGAAGGAGTGGAAGGGGAAGGAGGGGAGGGAGGGATGAGTGAGAGAGCGAGTTAGTGAATGAGGGGAAGGGGGAAATTTTACGTAATAGAAAATGACAATGATTCCATATTGAATAATATAACGAAACGATTTTTTTTTTTTTTTTTCAATGAATAAAATTTAAAAAAAAAAAAGCAATACCCTGTCAGTTTAAAACCGGAAACGGATATGAAATAAATTTTTTTTATATTTACCGATTTTTTTCCATCTCGTTTTGTAAAACCATGTTAACGATTATTATCCACACATTATCACATACTTAATTTTTTCTTTTAAGTTTATTTAAGTTTTAAAACAAAACACCACCATTTTAATTTTTAATTTTCTTTTAATTCGTTAATGATCATAAAATAAAAATTAAAAAAAAAAAAAATTAAAAAAAAAAAAATAACGAAAAATAACAATCGAAAACGACAAACGAGCAAAGACTCGGGGAATCGACTGGTCTTAACCGTAAGAAGGAAGTAGGTCGTTGCACACTAGCGACAACAGTGATTGTTGCGGACAATATTATAACTAAATTTTGCAGTTTTAAAAAAATTTTTTTTTTTTTTTTTTTTTTCGTCTCGTTTCACGAAAACAAAAATGATAATAATAATGATAAATGATGGAAATTTTAAAATTTATTATTAACGCATATGCGTAATCCACGCGTGAATGATTGAATGATTGAATGAATGAATGAATGAATGAGATGCGTATATACAGATAAACACGAAAATATAAATTTATTTATAGAATTAAAAAAAAAAAAAAAAAAAAATTTTTTTGACGTTTATAATGGCCATATGCCGTGAATATGATATTTAATTTAAATTAATTATTTTTCTACATGTAAAATTTTTTTTTTCTTTTTTTTTTGACAAGTGAATAAAATGTTATGATTATTTAAAAACATCAGGTATGTTTAACGACAGCGACAGCAACGACAGCAACGCACACGCACGCACGCACAAAATCATATCATTTCTAATTACACGTAAATCCATTGAAATTTCTATGCATTTTTATAAAATCGCTAAAAAAAAAATCGTTTAAATTTACGTTAAGCTTATTTCCCTTCCCCTCCTCCTCCCTATCCCTCCCCCAAACCGAATTTCAATAAAAAATGGAGGGAGAGGGAGGGGGTAGGGGTGCATTACCAAAATAAATTTATTACGTTTTTATCTCGCATAACCAATAACGTATAAAAACTAAGTAAATAAAATTTCTAGTATTTATTATCATTATTATTATTTACCATTTTTACGACGACGAAAAAGGCAAAATTTTATTACGCTTCACTTCAAAATATCTCCCCTCCCCTCTCTTCCCCCTCCACTCCCTTCCTTTACTTACCCCTTCCACCCTCCCATCACCCCCCTCTCCTCGTCAAAAAAAAAAAAATTATAATAATAAGTAAATAATAAAACGTCGAGTGAGTGAGTGAGTGAGAGAGAGAGAGAGAGAGAAAGATTTAATAAGTAAAAATTATAAGAAGACGACGACGACTGTGAAAACATTGTAACAATATTATTATTATTATCATCATCGCGTGTTGTTAGTTAGTGGGTGGGTAAGTGCGCGAGTCCGCACACACACACACACACACATATATATTAAATAAAAGGTTTCGAAATCGTTTAATATGATAATAAAATCCGACGATAAAAACCTTTTTAAACCTTAAATTTTACTTTTCAAAAGGATTAAATGGAAAGAAAATCGTAGCCATAAAAAGATTAATTGAGTTAAGTTACGAACGCAGAGAGAGAGAGAGAGAAAAAATTATTATTATTATCATCATCATTATTATTATTATTGTACGTTTGAAATTTTGCTTGTTTTATTCCATTATTATTATTATTATTATTACTATTATTATCATTTTTTGGTCGTAACGAGACAGACAGAGAGAGAGAGAGAGAGAGAGAGAGAGAAAGGGAAAAGAGATAATAAATATATATATGGTTATTAAAGATGAAAAATCAAGTTGAAGTACGATTGTCATTTTTTTTTTATCCTCATTAGCATTATTATCAATTTAATTTTTTAAAATGGCCGACGGCGATGTCACTTCTCTTCCCTCCCCTCACCGTACCTCTCTCCCTCCCTCCCTCCTTCCCCGACTGATGTTACGATATCATTCGATACGCAAAAAAAAAAAAAAAAAAAAAAAAAAAACAAATTTTAACACAACTCCACTTTTAATCAACTTAACCGAAAAATAATAATAATGATGATGATGATGATGATAATAATAATAATAATGATGATTATGAATATGATGATGATGAAGAAGAAGATGATGATAATAATGATGATGATGATGATGATAATAATAATAATGATGATGATGATGATTATGAAGAAGAAGATGATGATGATGATGATTATGAAGAAGGAGATGATGATGATGATGATGATAATAATAATAATGATGATGATGATGATGATGATAATAATAATAATAATGATGATGATGATGGAGGTAGAGACGATGATGATGATGATGGAGGTAGAGACGATGATGATGATGATGATGATGATGATGATGAAGAAGAAGAAGATGATGATGATGATGATGATGATGCTGATGATGATAATAATAATAATGATGATGCTGATGATGATAATAATAATAATGATGATGATGATGGAGGTAGAGACGATGATGATGATGATTTAAAAAACAACAAAAAAATTTTTTGTCTTCTGCTGTTTATCTTGCAAGACGAAAAAAAAAAAAAAAGTTTTAACCTGTGCGATATAATTATTAATCGATAATGCACACATGATGATAATAATGATGATGATGATGGGGGGAAGAGGAAGAGAAGGAGGAAGGGGGAAGGGAAAAAATTTTAAAAGTTTTTCCTCGTGATTATCGAAATCCCTCACGTACCTTATTTAAAACTGATAATAATAATAATATCATTAAAAGAAAAAAAAATTAAAATTTTCTAGAAAGTTCTTTACCTCATCAATTTTTTTTTTTTAATTTGGAAATTTTTTTTTTTTTAAACCTTTCAAAAATTTAATCGGGTTAAATTCAAAACCGGATCGGGAAGGGGGGGAGGAGCGAAATGGGGGAAGGGAGGAGGGAGAAAGAGAAGCGGAAAAAAAAAGAGAAAAAATTTTATAAAAAAAACAAAACGACAACCGAAAATCAAAAATGGCGGAATATGAAAAAAATTGAATATTTTCCTCCGATTGTTGTCCCTTTCCCCGCTCCCTCCCCCTCCCCTCCTACTCCCTAACTTGTAAAATTTTTTTTTTTTTTTAAATGATTTATCGACTAAAATTTATAATTTTGAAAATAAATAAATAATTTATGAAATTCAATAATTTAAATGATTTTATTATTACAATTACGTCACAACTGAATATTTTAATAATAATAATAATGATAAATAACGTCCTGTTGTCATTACGGTCAACGATTTTCTTTTTCCTTACCCCCCTTTCCCTCCCCCCCCGAAAAAAAAGTCTCCTCAACATGTCATCACGATTTTTGCTATTGTTTAAAAAAACTCCCGATTTAATATTTGCTCTAAATAAACAAAATTATTTTTTTTTTTTAATTTAAAAAAAAAAAAAAAAAAAAAAATGGCTTATCGGATTTTATCGATTAATAATTTATTCCTTGCAAATTTTTTTTTTTTAATAAGGATTGATGGAATCCCGTTTTTGTTTTTTGTTTTTTTGCGGGAATGTGGGGGGGGGATTTTTATGACAACAATCGAATAATTAAATATTAATTAATTGTAAGGATAATCATTTCCGATGCGTTTTTTTTTTTTAATATATCCGCACTTGGCAAGATGGCGGATCGCACGTTATATACCCTATTAAACTTTAATTTAATTTATTTTATATTATTTATTAGTTTATCCGTTGAAAATAGTCACCAAGATATTTTGGGATGCGGGGGATTTTTAAAAAGTAACGTTCCTATAGATTTATCAAAAGTAGATATTAAATTGTAAGTGTTTAAATAATTTGTAATTTTTGCTGCCCCCCTCTTAACCAGGTTTGGTTATGTTTCACATTATTAAATTAACTTTCAACTTTTTTATTAATCTTTTTATTGTAATTACGTTTTGTTTTTTTTGAAATACTTGTTATGATTGATTTTTGCAGCCAAACTTTATCGATTTTTATTTTCCTTTGTTTCCTTTTTAATTATTATTATTATTATTATTATTAATTTGATTTGTCATGAATTGACAATTTTACCAAAGCCTGTATGTTAAGTACTTATTATGAGTCTTTATGTATTATTATTATTATTACTTTAAAATTTTTTTAGACTGTATGTAACTGAATAACCCTTTTATGTTTTGTAAATGGACATTCGAAGAATTTATCAAAATTAATTATGGTTTTATGTAATTTTAAAATTCTCTCACCCTCTCTCTCTTTCTCTCTCTCTATCTCTCTCTCTCTCATGGCTAAATATAGCTGAATATGTACTTACAGGTATGCATGAATCCAATTATCCTACTTGACCATTTGCTCCATGCAAAACTTTGTTTCAATCATGTCATATCAATAACGATACCTGAAAATAAAAATTTTGATGTAAATTATCATTTTCCCTTGATTTTTAATTTTTTATTAATTTCAGGTACACAAAGTCGGGGACTTTAAAAGAAACAAGCGATTGTGCACCAACAAACGGTTATTATTTCATACCTTTGTATGACAAAGGAGAATATCAATTAAAAATTGAACCTCCATCGAATTGGTTTTTCGAACCAAATGAAATAAATTTAAATTTTGATGGCGTCAATGATCCATGTTCTAAATCGAAAGATATTAATTTTTTCTTTAAAGGATTTAAAATAGAAGGAAAGGTTAGTTAATCGAATGACACAAAAGTAAGTCATTCATCACATCACAAACTTTATCGAGTGTTATACAAAATGCAATCAGAAGGGATTTCGAAAGTGTAACTCTTTTGTTTTTTCAAACAAACATTCGATACCAACAATCAAACATTTTTTTTTGGTTATTTCAGGTTGTAAGTTCTGGCACGACAAACGGTCCGGAAAATGTTTTAGTAACTCTTACTTCAATTAATGATAAAACATTAAATCTCGTCACGACAACCAAAGAAAATGGCCAATACGAATTTGGCCCCATATTAAACGGACAATATTTAATAACGGCTAAAAATGATGATTATAAATTTTCAAAAAGTTCGACATCTTTCACGGTCGAAGAAAATAATTTAATCGTACCGGATGGTTCTTTAGTAATATCCGGTTATGACGTTTCCGGTCAAGTTTTATTTAACGGTGAACCGACCGTTGGAGTTACGTTTGTTCTATTCGCGAACGACGAGGTAAACGATAATAATAATAATAATGATTACTTACACTCATACTCGAAATTTATTTATTTATTTTTTTTTTTTTTAAATTAATAGAAAAATCAAAAAATCAAAATAGACGATTGTTCGAAATCGGAACTTGTCAATTTCAAAAGTAAAAATGATTACTTGTGCCACGTCACATCCGATAAAACGGGTACGTTTAAATTCAAAGCCGTTCCGACCGGAAGTTACAGCATAAAACCTCACTACAGCAAATTCGACGTACAACCGAAAGAAGTTAAAATTTCCGTTAAACACAATCACATAACATTGAAAGAAAAATTTTTGGTAAATTTTCGAAAAAATTCTCGCGGACATATTCAAATGATATCCGTCGTGGGAAATAGTAATAATAATGATAATGATTTTAGGTTAAAGGATTCAGCGTTAGCGGAAGAGTTTTGAAATCCGTCGGTGGTTCCGGTTTGAAAAATGCCGAAGTTTTTTTAAATAACGGAAAAGTTGCCGTCACGGACGGTGATGGAAAATTCACGTTGGACAGCATAAAACCCGGAAAATATCATCTTTCCATTCGATCGGGTACGATTTATTTCCTTTTTTTTGAATAATTATTATCATCATCATCAATAATAATAATAATAATTGTTGTTATTTAGAAAATATAAAATTTGACGACATAAACGTCAAGCTGTCACCGAACGCATTGGAAATAGACGATATTTATCCATCGGAATTTAAAGTTTGCGGATTGGTGACGTCAACATCCGGTCAACAACCCAAAACCGTGGAAATAAATTCCGAATCGGACGACGATGGGAATAATATTAAAATGGCGGAAGCCAAAGTCGATCACGAAACTGGAAAATTTTGCCAATTTTTAAAACCTGGAAATTATAATTTGGCCGTTAAGTTAACGGATTTTGAAAAATCGTCCGGAATGCAGTAAGTGGAAAACTTCAAAACCGTTTTTTGCCCACTTTTTTTTTATGTTGGAAACAAAAACGCGAGAGAGACAGAGGGAGAGAGAGAGAGAGAGTGTGAGAGTGAGAGAAAAAAGGGAAAAGCGAAGGGATGCGAAAGGGAAGGAATTAATCCGGTTGTAAAATTTAGCTAGCAGAAAATTAAAACGTTCGTTCGTTTGTTTGAAAACGAGACTAATGAGTTTGTGTGTACGCGTGTGCGGGGGGGGGGCGGGGCGAGGGGAGACGTGAAAGGAAGAAAGAGAAAGAAGAAGAAGGAAAGAAAAGACTTACTTGACTTTTAACGGGTTTTTTCTTTTTTTTTAAGGTTCGTTAAATAAGAAGTAAAAGTTTATTGTGTCATAAAATATATCCGGGGAACTCTAATGGAATTTTATTTGTTAAGAGGAAAAGGGCACGCACACGAGTTATTATCATTATTATTACTATTACTACGTAGTGAAATATTAGTTTTATAAAATGGCGGCGACGATGAAAAATTTCATTTAATAACTTTTTGTCGACGCGATAAAAAGATTTTAAAAAAAAAAAAAAAAAAAAAATTAAATTCGAATTAATCTTTTTTAACGGTTTTTTATAATTATTATTATTATTATCGAGGGGGTGTGAAATGTGTCGATTCGTCGTTCGTCCCTTTTCCCTTACACATTCATTGGGGATTTTTTTTTTGTTTCATTTCAGGTACCTTCCGCTAAACCGTAAAGTTCACGTTCGTAACAGTCCGATAAGCGACATAGAATTCACGCAGCTGAGAGGAAACATACGGGGACGAATAATTAAAATCCCGGATTCTGCGAAAGGGGAAGAAATGACGATAAAATTAAAACGTAAAAATTCACTCGTCGCGATAAAAGTCCTCGAGGGAAACAAATTGGAATATTCGTTCACGGACATGATGCCGGGATATTACGACGTGGAAATAGAAAAACAAACGTGGTGTTTCGAAAAGGAAATACATTCGGTGACGGTGACGAGCGCGGAAACTCTCGTACCGGATTTCGTACATTCCGGATTTAAAATAAAAATAAAATCATCTCACCGTACTTCGATCCTCGTCACGAACAACAACAACAACAACACGTCCGACGTGGAATTCCATAGGGAACTCGTTTTGGAAAAGGGTGACAATTCATTTTGCATTCCATATTCGATGGGATACAAGTTGAAACCGTTTGGATGTCACGGTTACGATAGAGAATTTTACATAATCGATCCGAATTCATCCGAAGATGGGTTGATATTGAATGCGATTTCTCATGACGTCACGGGATTCATCAAGAGTTCAGATTATGAAAATGACGTTTTCGTGGATGTCGTTTCGAACGGTCAAACGACGAGGTAGTTGCTGCGAATTAAAATCATCATCATTATTAGCATTATTAAAAATAAGTTAAAGTCGTTTTATTTTTCAGGTTGGGGGGACCATTGAAGGGAGAAAAACATCCGAGCGGAGTTTTGTATAAATTTTCTCACAGGGTTCCCGAAAATCAATTATTGAAATTCGTTCCCGTTTCGAGCAAGCTTTTGTTTCAACCCGATTTCGTGGAATATCGAACGATAGACGATTGTGCGAACAACGTCATCAAAATCACGGGTGAAAAAGGACTCATAATAGAGGGGAGAATAGATCCCCCTTTGGGAAACGTTAAAATAACATTGAAATTCAAAGACGGTAGTGATAATAATAATAATAATAATTCGGATCAAAATGGCGGCGAATTGTTATTTTTAACGAAAGACGATGGAAAATATAAATTTGGACCGTTGAAAAGCGCTTTGAATTTCGAGTGAGTCGACGATTGGGTTTCCCGATGGATGCGTGAGATTGTCGGGAAGAAATGAAAAGAAAATTTTTTTTTTTTTTTTTTCGAATTTCAGGGTGACGGCACAAAAGGATTCGTACGTTTTAACCGGACCCGATAAGAATGGGGTGTTCAAAGCTCACAAATTGGCGGAAATACACGTGAGAGTCGTGGATAACGCGACGAACGAACCTCTCCAAGGGGTTTTGCTCTCTCTCACGGGAGGTGAAAATTACAGGAAAAACAGCATGACGACCGACAGCGGATCATTCGTTTTTCACAGTTTGAGTCCCGGCGAGTATTTTCTACGTCCCATGATGAAAGAATACAAATTCGAACCCTCGTCACAGATAATACAGATAAGGGAAGGAGTCACGGAATCCTTCGATCTCAAGTGAGTGGAAAATTTTTTTTTTTTTCCGGGGGGAAGGTCGCGACACCAACAGGAAAAATTATTCTCTCGTACGATTTCTCCTCGTAGGGGAAGAAGAGTATCGTTCAGCGCGTACGGTACGATAACGTCACTGAACGGAGAACCCGAATCGAACGTGTTGGTCGAAGCCATCGGATTGAATTCGTGTTCGAATTTGCAAGAGGAAGCCTCGTCGGAAAATAACGGACAATTTAGAATTCGGGGTCTTTTGCCGCAGTGCGAATATCAGATTAGGTTGAAAACCGGATCGGATGTCAACGTGAGAGTTCATCGATTGGAACCCCCCAATTTATTCGTAAAGGTACGCGAACGAGAGAGAGAGAGAGAGAGGAAGTGAGTGAGAGAGAAAGAGTTATAATTTTTTGAAATTTTCAGACGAACATGGGTGACGTGAAAGGACTCGAACTCATCGTTTTTCATCTCGTCGATCAAATGGATCTTTCCGTACACGTGGAAAGTTCCATACCTGAACATTTGAAAAGTCTCAAATTGAAATTGTATAAGGAAACCGAACCTGATTCTCCTGTTTTTACGATAAAATTGGACACGCTCGCAGGTACGTGTGAAAAAAAAAAATCGACATATCGATCGATCAATCGATAAGATTTTCAAATCGATTCGATTTGTTTTCTTTCAGGCGGTGTTAAAAATTGGGGAGGACCTCAAACGCAAGAACGTTTTTTAAAAGCGGGACTCTTGGTACAATTCCCGTTCGTTCCCCTCAACAAAGAATCCTATTTCATACAAACGGAATCGAGCCTGTGCAAGCAAGCGTACGACTACAAGGATGTATCCGTTCATTTCGTCGCGGATAAAACGTTCAAAACGTTCAAAATGTTTTTCGAACCCGAAATGAAAGCCATAGACCACGAGCTCACTTTGGGAAATTACATAATCGTTCCCCTCATAATATTCTCCATTTTGTTTTATTCGTATTTCAACAAAGCCGTTCCCGCCGTGCAAAATTTTTTCGGGTCCCTCAATCAAGCCGCGTCGTTTTCATTCGCGAAAGAAGAGAGAAACAATGGTTACAACAACGCGACGAACAACATAATGGACAACGTGTCGATAGAACCCGTTCTGGTACCGACGACGACGACGACGACGACGAAAAGAAAAACGAAACCGAGAAAAACGTGAACGAATTTCAATAATAATAATAATAACACGCATAGTAAAATGGGTGAAAGAGAGAGAGAGAGAGAGTAGCTGAAAATAATTATTATTATTATTATTTATATATTTAAATGTACAAATATTATTATTATTATTATTATTAAAGAATATTTTTTGTTTTTTTTTTCTCCTAACTTTTTTTTTTCTTATTAATAGAATAATCGATTAATCGAAAGAGGAATCGAGAACAAAACGAAACCGTCGCGATTCGTTTGGGGCGGGGAGTGGGGGGGGAGGGGATCGAACGGGGGAAGTATAAATGATTTAAAATGGGGGGGGGGTCGTAGTAGTAGTAGTAGTAGTAGTTGTAGATTGCGTTTTTTTTTAAACGAAACAAACGAAACAAACAGGTTTTCAATTTGTTCCAGTTAAAACTTCAAGGACGTTCGTTATTATCAATATTTATCTTTTGACGAGACCGTTATTATTATTATTATTATTATTATTCAGACATAAGAGTTACATAACGAGAATCGCGTTACTTTTTCTCTCTCTCCGGGTAAAAAAAATTTTTTTTTTTTTTTTTCAAAACTCGCGGCTATTGCTCGAATAAAAATTTCGTTAATAAAAAAAAAAACGTTTCGGTAATTTTTTTTTTGATAAAACTTCAAAAGATGGATTAATTTAAAACAAAATAAAAATTTTCGAAAAAAAGAAAAATTCGAACGTTTTTTTTTTAAATCCCCACACCCGATTTCCGGTTTCCTTACAAAAAAAAAAAGAAAATCATTTTTATACCGATGGTTAATAATTAGTTCAAAACAAAAGTGCGCATGCAACGCTCCCAGCGGGAAAAATAAAAACCCTAAAGGATTTTCATACTTTATGAAATCCAAAAAAAAAAAACAAAATTTTTAACCGCTCATCCCGTTAATCTCTCTCTCTCTTTCTCTCTTATTAAATTATTATTATTATTATTTTACGAACATTATTAATAATAATAATAATAATAATAATAATAATATTAAATTCATCTATTAAAACGCTGGAAGTGTTTTTAAATAAATAAACAAAAAATTACAAAAAACGTTACGTAATTGGAAAAAAAAATTTCAAAATTTCAAAATTTTTTTTTTTTTTTTTTAAACGAAATCCTAATTTTAGAAAAAAAAATTTATAATTTTCGAACGCCATTTTGTTTTTTTTTTTTTTTTTTAAAAATTCACTTATATGTGGAATTTCGAAAAAAAAAAAAAAAATTTTTGCAATATGTGATTGTAAAAAATGGTGGTGGAACATTAAAAATGAAAAAAAAAAATTATTACTTCATTATTGACCCTTATACCTGTCAGCCATGAAAATTTCTCCCACCTTTTATTATTTTTTCCAAACACAAAAATGTCTCAATAGTTCTCCAGTAAGTTTATTAACTTGCTCTTGTGCGGTTTAAAAAATTTTTTTTTTTTTTTTTTTTAATGTTTAAACCCGTATGGCGGATTTTTGGGTGAGTATAAATTATTTTCTCTTTTTTGGAAGTAATGATGATGATGATGATGAGGATGATGATAGTGATGGAGGTAGAAGTGATGCTGATGGTGGTGGTGGTGGTAGAGATGATGATGGTGATGATGATGGTGATGCTGATGGTGATGCTGATGG